GAATGTAATATTATAAATAAATGATAAATAAATAAATGTAGTGTAATATATAAATAGATAGATAATTAAATAAATAGATAAGTACACTACAGACTGTAATTCCTTTGGATATGATCGTGTATTTCGGATTCTCGAATCACTACACTAAAAACACTATGATAACCTATAAAACAAAATAATTACAAAATTGTAACATATAAATCAATGCCGAGTGTTTATAGCGATGCCAAAAATTTTCCACGATTAATCTAACATTCATCATGACAAGACAACATAAAATATTATCGCCAAGTCATGATGACTAAATTTATACTGGTATCAACCGCTTTACCCGATGATCTAATGCCACAAGCAGATACCTAAGTAATCCGTGTACTAAATACTTTTAAGTAATTATCTGTTGCACAATACTTTTTTGTATAGTGAGGTGGCAAACGAGTAAGCGGCCACCTGAATCCGCCAAAATGGCAAAGCGATCGCTGCCCATAGACATCCGCAATAGGGAATGTTTATGTATTTTTTTTTTTCTTAAACGATTCTGCTTGTTATAAGATAACCAGAAATAAAATGACTCGAAAAAATTAAACCATTGAGCTAAATATTACTAAAAAAAAATATTCATTTGATTCATCACATTCTCTTCGATGTCACTTCGATGTAAAAAGCAACAAAGTATCTCATTGGTCCTCAGAGTTATCGGTACAAATAAGTAGCAATTAATGATACTTTTCATTTATTTTTTATTTTAAAGCTAGTTTTGACATCGTGTTTACAGTAAAATACTTCAAGAGTGAATTTCTATATAAACTGACGTAAATGAACTGTATATTGACAACACAGCGGCGCGGCGCCATAATAGATGAGTCACTTGCTTCGACCAATAAAGTTGCGTATTGGAACTTAGCGAGGGAATCTTAAAAAAGACACTTTTTTTTATAATAGAAGGTGGCAAACGAGCAAGCGGCCACCGAAATCCACCGAAATGAAAAGCGACCGCTGTCCATAAACATCCGCAATTGCAGATGCGTTGCCTACTCTTAATTTACGGAGGAGGAGACGCACATAAAGAGTATATTTCCCCTTCCTATGCATCTCCTCCACCGTCAAATCCAATTTACATTCCCATCCTTTCCTCTTAAGACAATGGTGGAACGGGAAAGGGACTAAAACTAGGCCTCCGGCACTACACTCATCAGACGAAACGCGGAATTGTTTCCACTTTACGCCTGTTTTCTGTGTGGTCGTGGTATTACACCGGGCGTGCTAAGTATTTGTAACAAAAACAACTGTTTTTTAGTAATGTCATATTTTTGGATTTAAAATAAACTATTAATACAGTCTATTTTATTAAATTAGTTGTTCGTCACACTGGACTGGACACAATCGATTTAAAGGGTTAAAACAGGCTCTACCACTGGAAACAAATAGGCATAGAGCACCACACTACTTGTACCATCACTATCTTAATTTGGGTTAACTTGATTGGGCTAAACTCAACTACATAAATTATTATAATTTATAATTTGTATTGTTTTTATCAACTTATTATCAGTCTGGGCTATATAAGGTGACGGACTGTTTGTACTCTCGCAAACCATCCACGATGTTGACCCTGACTGTTGTAATCCTGCTGTGTGTCGCTCTGTACCTTTATGGCACAAGAACATTCAAATATTGGGAGAAAAGAGGAATCAAACATGACAAGCCAGTACCATTTTTCGGCAACAATTCACGTATGTATTTGTGGAAGAAAAGTATGACACAGATTGGCATGGAAATGTACTGGAAATATCCAAAGGAAAAGGTCGTGGGATTTTACAGAGCGATGCGTCCGGAACTTGTCATCAGAGATCCAGAAATAATAAAACTTTTTTTATTATTTCTGGTTTCAGACTTTGGATATTTTCATTTCAGAGGTATCAATACTCACAAAACCGTTGTTGAGCCCATTGCAAAAAATCTCTTCCTTGCTGAAGGAGATCTCTGGAAGCTTTTGAGGCAGCGCATGACTCCCGCGTTCACCAGCGGCAAACTGAAGGCCATGTTCCCACTAATTGTCGAGCGTGCTGAGCGCTTGCAGACCCTTGCAATCAACGCACCAAAAACTGGACGAGTTCTGGACTCCCGCGAGATAATGGCGCGGTATACCACTGACTTCATCGGTGCTTGCGGGTTCGGTCTGGACATGGATTCTCTTAGCGTAGAAAATTCCTCTTTTAGACAACTCGGTATCGATATTTTTAAAGTTGAAATCGGTCAAATTGTTAAACAAATGCTTAAAGAAATGTTTCCCGAAACTTTCAAACATGTTAAAATATTTGGAAAATTAGAAAATGACGCATACGCACTTGTCAGAAATATTCTTCAAAAGAGAAATTATGAACCATGCGGCAGAAACGATTTTGTCGATTTACTTCTTGAATGTAAGAAAAAGGGGAAAATAGTTGGACAATCAATAGAACTAATTAAATCAAATGGTATGCCTGAAGAAGTTTCTTTGGAATTAACTGAGGAAATAATGATGGCTCAAATTATGGTCTTCTTCGCCGCGGGTTTCGAAACTTCATCTTCCTCTACGAGCTATACGCTACATGAACTCGCATATAATCCTGAGGAGCAACGAAAAGTGCAAGAAGAAGTCGATAGAGTTTTGAAGAAGTACGACAACAAGCTATCGTACGATGCAGTTTCTGAAATGACTTACTTACATTGCGCTTTTAAAGAAGGCATTCGCATGTTCCCATCGTTGGGTCATTTGGTCAGAAAGTGTGCTCGTAAATACACGTTCCCCGACTTGGACCTCACGATAGACGAGGGCGTTACAGTATTAATACCTGTGCAGGCGTTGCACAAGGATCCGCTGTACTTTGATGAGCCAGAACGATTCAAACCAAGTCGATTCTTAACTGATTTTATCAACCCGATGACCAAAAACATATATTTACCATTTGGAGAAGGCCCCCGTGCGTGTATTGGTAAGTTCACTGTGTTTGTTTTTCAATTTATCCATTTTTTTTAAGTATTTTTTTACGAACAATTTTTTTCGAATTTGTCCTAAATAATGATTGTAATCATCAATAATGGTTTATATATAGGAGTTAAATTAATATGCAAGTGTTTATTTAGATTATCAAGAATTAAACAAAAATCTACAGTAGGTAATTGGTTATTTAGTATAAAGTTGTGGAAATATTAAAGTTTCTCAGGGGTTTAGGGTCTTGGGTTTGAATCCCGCCATGTACTAATGTGATTTATGTACATATGTAAGTTACCCAACGTTCTTACGATGAAGGAAAACATCGTTATGCAACCTGCACATATCGGCGAAAAATTCAAAGATACATGTGAATTCAACCAAACCATAGTAGCCTAGCGTGGTTGACTATGGCCTAATCACTCCTAGGATAGGCTCAGAGTTCCTCAGTCGGGACGTGTGGATGCTGGGGATGATGGTGATGATGTATGAAATCATTACTTTAAAATATAGAATTATCTTCTTAAAAAGATTATCTTTTGATCAATAACTAGTTGGTAAATCTTAGATTTTACAGATGAATCTTGGGAGATACCTAAGTTTGTGGTTTCACGTCAATATACATATGTGATTCCAGGTGAGAGACTTGGTCTGATGCAGTCGCTGTCGGGTCTGGCGGCGGTGCTGTCGCGCTACTCGGTGGAACCCGCGCCGGAAACGGTGCGCCATCTTAAAGTTGACCCATCTTCTAATATGGTGCAAGGAGTTATCGGTGGTTTGCCTTTGATATTTAAGTCGAGAAGTTAGTAAACGTTTTAGAGTAGACTTTGTATTCGCATATGATTTGGCTTTGTTTTTAAATTGGGAAAACGTAGTTACTTATTTGTACTTGAGTTTATTAATTGTAGTCAATTTAACTCTATTATTTACATGCATTTTTATATTTACAACGACTGTATATTTGATAATTGTTCAAGTATGTAATTTAGTTGTCTAGGGCATATTTAAGCTAGTCATTTTTGATAGCCTTAATTAATAAATATTTTTGACAGCATATTTTTTTTACTCCTTCATTTTTATAATTCTTTTTCAAAAATTTGATAAACTATCATTAGCACGCGACTTTGTCCGCTCGAAATTAAAAAGAAACATAGCATTTAGCCTATGTGTTTTTTCACTGTTCTACATCTGTGGCAAATTTAAACAATATTACATCATCTATCCAAACTTTCGCGTTTATAATATGACAATCATTATGCTTAGATAAAAAAATGACCGAGTCATGATGACTAAATAAATACCGGAATGAACCGGTTGGCCTGATGATGCAAATACCTAAGCCAATTAACATTTATTACTATTACTGTGTTCAAGAATACACATACCTTGGTCAAATAATCTCACCTACAGGCCAAAACTCTAAAGAGGTGGAAGCAAGAATAGGTAAAGCCTGGAAGCGATACTGGATGCTGAAAGAAGTCATGAAGAATAAAGAAATAAGCATACAAATAAAACGAAAACTCTACAATGCATGTATACTTCCAGTCCTAACATATGGCTGCCAAACTTGGGCCCCTACAAAAGAACACTATAGGAAACTACAAGTCTGCCAAAGGTCAATGGAAAGAAGCATGTTAAACATAAAGAAAGCTGACAAAGTTAAATGTACTGTAATCGCGAAAAAAACTAGACTAACTAACATCATCACAACAATAAAACGACTCAAATGGAGATGGACGGGACACACTTT